CTAATGAATTCTTCCCGTTGAAAAAATTTGAAGATAATAAAAATCCAAGGCTAAATGGATAAAAAACCAGGTCTAGATAAATACAAATTTCTTTTTTTGTAAATATAAGAACTATCTAAAAGAGAGATTATCTAAATCTCGTCGTAATTTACATATATTTACATATACTATATAACTATATATATAATAATAATAATATATATATAACTATATATATATATATATATATATATATATGTATGTTACATGTAACATTGTGTTTGCTGGGATTACAATAAATATCAAATTCATATGGCGCTAACAACACAACCTGATCTGTCACCGCGGCTGACAGCTGTAAGCGGTACGAATTCAACTGCGACGGGATCGAGACAATCGAGACGGTCGAGACGGCCAATTAGTGTCGCGGAAAAGAGGCTTCACCCACTTCGATACATTCGAGATTTAGTTAACATGCACTTTTTCTGATAGGATAACACGTATATTATATAACAGTTATATTGTTTGTTGAGTAAGAAATTACAACTAACATGTATGTTACATGTAACATTGTGTTTGTTGGGATTACATAAATATCAAATTTATATGACGCGAACAACACAACCTGATCTGTCACCGCAGCTGCAAGCGGTACGAATTCAACTGCGACGGGATCGAGACAATCGAGACGGTCAAGACGGCCAATTAGCGTCGCGGAAAAGAGGCTTCACCCACTTCGATACATTCGAAATTTAGTTAACACGCACTTTTTCTGATAGGATATCAGTAAATTGCGGTAAAATTTATTTTACTGAATTATTGTATATTAAGGGGTAAAATACCCTTTGATTATTCACAGAGAGTGAATAAATCAATACACTATGTTTGTTGGGAAAAATGAAAGGTTAAAACTCCTTTATAATATGTATTTATTACATTTTTCGATAGATTATTAAAAATTCGCTTGGCGGCTAATAATCTGCCTAACACCATCTAGTGGTGTCGAGTAGGAACTCTTTTGTCAGTAGAATCTATGCTTGTTAAATATGGTTCGAGTCTCAGTAAAATTGGTTCGTGTCTTGGGATGATTACTTTTAATTCTAAAATCTCCGTTACGAGTCTCCACCGTACTCACTGATGTAGAGTTCTTTAAATCGGGATTGAGATATCGTCCGGTATTTAAGAAAGAAGAAATGAGCGAGTAGAAGAGAATGTATAGCGTGCTCTTTGTCATTTCAGTTTTAAGTTCAAGAAACATTTTATATTTTAATGTTTTTCTTTCTCTCTCTCTTTTCAGAAATATTAAATTTATAATATTGCTACTGCGTTTTTAATCGTCATATCAAGTTAAATAAGAAATAGCATTGTATGATTTCGTCTTTATGAACTTGTTTGTTTCAGTTGCTTTTATACCGAAAATTTATATTCATAAAAAATGTAATAAATGCATTTTGGAGAGGAAACTTTAAGCTTTCATTTACTGCTTAGTGAATATCTTATATCGAGTTCTTCGCTTATTGTGAGCAATTAAAGTCGGAGGGAGTTTCCACTTCAGCATTAAATAACTCAGTGAAAAAAAATCGTATTGCAATCTATGGGTATGCAAATTAAAGGGGTTTATACTTTTAAACGGTATAAATTTTATACGTCTATGATTTTTATTTTATATAGTATGTCTCGAAAAACTTTATAAAAAATTTTTACATTTGATGTGTAGATCGCTATTTATGTTCATGTAAAACTGTAAAAAAGATAAGTGAAATTTATGTTTGATAATACCTCTGAAAACTAAAATCCTTTGATCTTTAAAATAGTTCTTAAAACATGATTATTATTACCATTGCTTTTGCTGCGATTACAGTTCGTTGAATTTTCTATATATTTCCTTATTGGGAAAAGTAATTCTTGAGTTTCATTTTAATGCTTAGATTTTTTTATGAAATACTGATTTAATATAGTCTGTACATATTTGATGGAAGATAAAAGGCAACATTCCTTATTCGCAATCAAGTATAATCGAGTCTGCGATATGTTTTGTATGTCTCAAGTATCGCGACTACCGCCGCGACAAGCAAATCGCCGTCTAGCAAGACATTTTTTGCCGCATTACTAACGATAAACTGGTGAGAAGAAAAAAATTCGATACGTAACATCGGTGATCTCGCGAAACATCGGTGATCTCTTATATCAGAGAGATTTTTCCGATCGAAGCTTCCAGGCGTTCTGATTAGAAAAAAATCATTGTCATGTGACACTGTCGATTCCGTATGGCATCGCAACGATAACGCGACTGCAATCTTTAGTTCCGGGATGCCAGTATTTTATTAGTTGCTATCAGTTGTTGCACAAACGGTGTCGCGACGAATCAAACTGAAAATTCCATTTTGAAGCGTGTCGCGATATGCGGGTGATATTAGCGGCAGATAACGTTATGACCGATGGTTCACGAAAAGAATCACTGCATTACATACCGTACAATCGTAAAAAAAACGTCGTGTTGTGTCTTTGCGTTTGATAAAAGAAAACGATGTTTTACAGACAATTCACGACAGGCGGGTTCTGAGTTGCAATACCGGATCGGACACTAAGAGTGCACGTGCATTTGTGATAATGTCTCAGAGCGCGACATTTCTCGGACTTTATTGTATTGTCGGTTCAATAATTCCGCAAATAGATTTTCTCTTTAAATGAAAACTCCACTTCAAATGAGAATAGTCGCCTTGTGAGAGAAGATATAACGCGATGTGAAAACGCATATACGGTGTATTTAAGAGATTTTTACATCACTATACTTAGAAAAGTATCTAGAAAATAGTAAATATTACTTTGTACTGATATAACA